GAACCAACATTAAAATATGAAACAAATTCATGTATTGTGACTACAGATAATGGAATACCTACTGAAAATCATAAAGCAGCATCTACACTTTTCAAAAACACTCAGAAGAAAAGAAAAGGTCCTGAACGCTACATGAGAACACCATCAATTGAATCCGACTCTATTTCAGTTGCTAATTCAGACATGACAGAAGATTCCCTAAATACACCAGTTCTAGAAAGAGCAAGTGAAGAAGATAATACTGAAGACATCAGTGAGGATGAGAATAGCCCTATAGACAGATGTTTGGCCCAGCTGGCAGATTCAGTTATCCAGCCTACAGATGACTGTTCTTTGAACCGTTACCTAAGTCAACTTGGAACTGTTCTGGCAGCTAGAGAAGACTGTCCTTTAGATCAGTGCCTGAATAAACTGGCTAGCAATATGAATGGTAACAGAGCAACAAAAGGATTTAATTTATCTCAACATTTGCCATTATGTACATGGCAGCATATATGTGTTGATAAAGGTAGTGACCGCAGCACTCCTACATCCGATCGCTCATCTACCACATCCAGAGGATCAAAAGGTTCTCAAGAAAATCTACGGAAAAAAACACTAAATAAAGCCAAACATCATCATCATCATCATCATCGATCAGTTGAATGCAAATATAATAATGGAGAAGTCCTGCAAATAAATAATTCACTTGGAAATCTCACTCATCAAGCAAATGGACATGTACACACAAATATTAATGACGAATTTACAGCACATGTTCTAATAGAACGAGCAGCATTCAAAAGTATGCTCAGAAGTAAAAATCAAATAGCCAGTACATCTGAAGAGGATGAATGTGGTCGTGCAAGCTCTCTCGGTTCAACACGAGAACTTGAAACTCCAATATCAGAAACTACATCTGATCCGGGCTCAGCTGATTTGGAAAGACCTCGGAAAAAACGACCACTGTTACGTAGGAGCAAAAAGGGACTTAATGGCACTTGCCGGCAGCATATTCAGAACAGCAAGTTCAATAAAAAAGATAATGGTTCTTTAAAAAAAGGGAACTTCCAACAAAGAAACTCTAGTACACCACGATCTAGCAGCAGTGATGTCACAGTTATTCAGCTTGAAGGAAATTCAGATAACCATGTTACAAATGTTGAAAGCTCAAACACATTTGTTACATTGATAAATGTTGACAGTTCTGACTGCTCTAACAGTGCTGAAGAAAAGTAAATTCTAAAAAGGCATTTAAGCAAGAAAATTAATAATTAAATGTTCATCAATCTATTTAATACACAGTTATGAACTTTATAATTGTAACTGAAATAAAAATAAGTTATTTTTAATACTAAAGTAGGGAATGAAGATAAAGAAATATATGTCCGCAAGAACAAACATAAATGGGTACAAAACTCTACACTTTCACAAATAAAATCAGTTTGTCACTCATAACTATCAATGGGAAGTGAATATACCCATCCTTCAGTTAGAATTACAAATTCATTCCTAAAAATGCAGTGTTGAATGACATAGCTTTATACAGTACCATTTTAACAAATGGTACATAAGAACGGGGGAATACATGACTACAAACAAAAATGATTTATTTGCTAACTTCACTACTCCTGCACATACATATATGAATACATATTTCATTTTTTTGGCTATAAAGGTCCTGTCTCCCCTAAAAACCTTAATTTCATAATAATGAAATCATCCATGGTTGATCTTTACAATATGGTAACTGGTAGTTTGGCGACATTTTGGAGGCGATAAAGGTTACTACCTGGGACTTTGGTAATAATGTGAGCATACTCCGTTTCCGATACGCTTATTTTGTGGGGGGGAAATGAGAGATCATGGGATTTCATGTGTATTAATGGACGAATTACGTTTCTTTAATTGGAAGAGGGGGGGAATTTGGACCAGTATCTGTGGATGTATATTATTTTTTATTAAGCTTCATTGTGGGTTTGTGAATAGGTTGAATAATTTGGGATTGTTGGCGCTGTCTAAAGTGAATTGTAGATGTGTAAGAGAATTTTTTTTATCAAATTCTATGAAATTCGGGAAAAAAAATCGTTCAGTAATTTATTGAATCCATAAAAAAGTGTTCCCCCTGTAAGGAGATTCGGAAGAAGATTAGGTTAGTTTAAACTTTGTTAAGAATGTGAGTAGTATCAGTTCTGATTACGCATTATTTTGTGTGAGGGAAATGAGAGATCATGGGATATGTCATGTGATATTAATGGACGAATTACTGTCTTAATCGGGAAAAATCTGGCAATTTTGATTTGGCTTTATTCGTGTTTGTGAAAGTTTGTTGAATTTTGGATCCTGGCCTAACTAAAGTGAATTTGAATGGGTATTTAGTGTATTGAAAAGGATAGTAATAAATGTTTTTTTAGGTTGTGCGAGAGAGAAATAAAGATTTTTTATTATGTTTATTTATTTACCTGGTATCTTGCTTTGAAAGATAGTAGATTTTTAAAGATTCTGAAACAAAAGAAAGAAAAGTGTATCCGCCACGTAATCAAGATTCTGAAGAAGATTAGGTAAGTTAGTATTTTTATTATTTGAGGATATTATTTTATGCATTGTTGTAAATGTAAGGTGGAAGGAATTTGGTATTTTGGGAAAATTGTTTATAGCAAGATTTAGTTTTAAAGTAATTAGGATTGTAAGGTAATTTTTATTAATTTAATGTATGTGCTTATTTATATTTTTTAAGTAGTGTTTTGAATTTAATTATATTTTAATGAATATAGTTATTTTGTGAATTTATGTTTGTAGGATTTGGTATACATTTTAGAAGTTGAAAATAATTTAAAATTTGACATTAATATTTGTAATGTTTTTGTTGATTCTTGGTGACGTATAATGTAAAGATATTTAGAGGTAAAAGTTTTTTGGATATTTATTTATTTTATACGTGGAAATGTTGATATTTGTAAAGGGTAAATACTTTTTCGCGATTAGGTAATTTCATATATGTTCTTTTGCGGGTTTAAAAGATTGGAAAATTGTCCATTTTCGTGAAATTTTTTAATTTATGAAAAAAAGCTGTACATGGATATGAAAAGTGTGCGCAATGCATTTTTGTGCATTCTGGGATTTTTTTTAAGTAAAAATAAGTCGACGTGTACATGGTTAGAGATATTTTAATAAATTAAGTTATTTGTGATTATGCTGTAGAATTGGTATCGTTTAGTTGAAATAAACTGCATGGAAATAATTTAAAATCTTATACTAAGTTTGTAATGCTTGCGGATGAATTCGTTGGACGTATAACTACTAGATGATTTAGAGGTAAAAAGTTTTTGGTATTTTATTTATTTTATATGTGGAAATTTATATTGTAAAGGGTAAATACTTTTCGCGATCAGGTAATTTCATATGTTCTTTTTCCGGGTTTAAAGATTAAAAATTGTCATGTATTTCGTGAAATTTTTTAATTTATGAGAAAAAAGCAGTGTACATGGATTGTGAAGAGTGGCGCATGCCATTTTTGTGGCAATTCTGGTTTTTTTTTATGTAAAAATAAGTCGGCGTGTACATGGTTATGTGTATGTGTTATTTTGAAAATGCGTAAGGAGATGGTATGTGCAGTTTTTCCCTAATTTTGGCAGTGAATATTTGTCATGATTAAGCAGTTTGTTTGATAAAATTTCTAGCAAAGTGTAATTTTGGTAGTAGATTTTGGAAGAAGTGTTCAGGAAGGAAAAGAAAAGAAACATGTCTTTACTTCGTGAAGACAAAATGGGGCGGGGAAAAAAAAATAGAGGGTTGCTGTAGGAGAGTTGGTCGCCAAATTTTCGCCAAAAAATCGCCAAGTTACCATAATGTAAAGATCAACCTCATCCATCTCTCAGTTTTTCTGTTCTGCGAAATAATTTTTTTTTTCCAGTATGACTGCTACATTCATAGTATAAAGTAATACATACACTATAAAATAAAATACACTCTTTGCTTGTATCAGAACTTACAGTTAAAGAAGTTTCCTTCAAACAAATATAAATTTCCATAATCAGTATACTTATTTCCTTCATTCCTTAAAAATTTTCTATCTGCTGCTGAATTATTTTTGAAAATACTTTAGAAGATGAATAACATTTTACCTTCTTTCATTCAGGTTAGCTTTCACTCAAATGCAGACAAGTGAGCTTCTGAATAACAGATATTTGTATTCCAATATTTAGAATATTCAATCCACTAGCTAGAAAATGTTCCAGTTAATCAAAATTACTGAATATTTCAACCATTCAGTGTACATTTAAACCTATGCATTGACATCTAAAATGATTCAATAGTCGTAACTGAAAAACTTGGTTTGAAGGTGATGAATCAAAATAAGTTTAGCGTAATTTTAGTGTTACAGAATAATCGCATCATTAATTTCCACAATTTTAGGAAATTTTACTGTTCGGGAAGGGGACATGTCAAATCAGAGTTCACGGACGTATCAGTAAGTAACATGTACAGAGAAAATTAACATGTAATTTATGGATTTAGATATTATCACATGACAGAACGCTTAATATTTTTATACATAATGCTAAATGTTCCATTACTTTCTGCCATTTATCTATGCTACTTTTAATACGTTAGCTCTTACTGTCACTGAGAATTATATAATTAAAAAAAATTCTGATTTAAAAGTTTTAGAACAAACAGGAAACAAAATTTAATTGGTTGTTAAATTTTGCTTCCTGTTCATTTTTTATTCCTGCATTTTATCTCCAAAAAATATTTAAATATAGCATTTAATAGCATCGGAGAAATAAATCATCTAAAAAAATAAATCACAGCTTAATCGCACATAAATTAATCAACAAACCTTAAGCAAATGTAAATGTATAATCATTTTTATGTGATTAATGTCCATAGTAACAATAAGTATATTATTATTTATAATACTATTTTTGTCTCTTATACATTAAAATACATGTACTAAACTGCCTGAGCCAAAAATTAAGTACTTCCTAGAAGTTCTTGTAAAAATAAAAATGACCATATTTAAACACAGAATTTTCAAGATTTTATTGCGACAATAAACAAGTTATCTTGAAACAAATGAGTACACAAATATACAGTAACATATTCAAATATGGATAAATATACTTTATATTTAGAATTATAAAATGGAACTTATGAATGGCATATATTAATAAAACACTTCAGCAACCATTTTACAAACTTTCAAGCTGGTCCAAAAATAATTTTTCAGACAGAAATATTTGGTCAAGTTAGAATACCCCTCCAAATTCAAAGAATACTACAACATGAATTTGTTTTTCGAGCCTATAAAAACAAAAATAATTATCAGGCTACAATACCTTTTAAAAACTGTGATTAAAAGAACTGGAAATTTAAAATGAATCTTTAAAAAAAATTTCAAAATTTTACCGTTTTATAAAATGCTTTACTCTGTACACTTAATTGTTCAGATTTAACAACCAAATCATCCAATTTTTCACCCCGTTCTAAAACAGCCTGCAATGTGTTATGCAAAATTATCTTGGTTTCATCCAATTCATCCTGAATTTTTGTTAAAGAATCAGCACTTCGAGGATCCTGATAGTCGGACAGAAATTTCTCAAGTCCAGGAAATGCAACTGAACTGAAATGAATTTTAAAATATTATACACATTATTTCCCTTTCCTAATTCATATAATAGCAGCCTACTGGAAAATAAAACAATATATAGCACACATAAACAGTTATTCAGTTCAACTTTACAATATACCTTAAATTGAGAATTTTTTGAGGGGTCTGCATAAACTTCTTATGCAAAATCAACAGAAATTACTATTCATGAGTTAATGAAAAAAAAAAGAAGGATGTTAATTAGTATTGCATTCCTTTCTGAATCAGCATATTTATGTTAACACTTAGTAATATAAAATGTTCCAATTACACTTACCAATAATACCTACGGAATAATAACAAGTTTGGAAATTAATAGCATAAAAAATTGTTAGTATCAAAAACAAAAATACTTCTACGACTTTACTGTGCTGAATGCCACTTAGTATAACCACATTTCTGACTTGCAAGAGCCAATGAGAGCATTTAATAGTATAGCTGATCATAGCTCAGAAAACTTGCACTAGATCTCTGTCAAAAGAGTACAAAGTCCGTAATCTGGACATCCATTGTCCAGAATGATCTATAATCCTGACCTCAAAGCCACAAACGTTTTTTTGTATGCTTTACGCATGCGCGCTTCCGATAGTGAAGAAAGTGACAGAAAGGTTATTGAAAACGAAAAAATTTTGATTCACAAGTTAGCCAGTTCTCAACACAGCAATTACAGGCCTTGAACAGTGGAACTTTGTAACTGAACAAGAAATTATGTCTGTTTATAGAATTAAAGAGAAAGTATTAGCACAAAAAATGAAGCAACTTAAACAACTTACATTGAAAGAAATGTTTAATAAAGTAAACAAATAAATATTAAGCTTTTTTTTTTTTTTTTTTTTTTTTTTTGTAAATTTTGATACACATTAGACCCTAATTGATCTTTATTTCATAAATTACGGTTTCATATTTTTAATTGTATAATTTCTGCATGCCACCTAGCCAGATTTAAAATGATGATCTATAATCCGGAAAAACCCTAATCCGGAATCGACGACGTCTCGACGAATCCGGATTACAGACTTTGTACTGTATTTCCAATGGAACTGCATCATAACAGCCTTTTAGATTCTGGTTATATGGTTCATATAAACACATTTGCACTTCAAAAAACATAGTAGCCATATAAAAACAATTCAGCACTTGGGTCTTGTGTCCATAAATATATCTTCTCTCGGTTTCAACAATGTCTTTCTTTGACATGTAGTACATGATGATGAATTCAATACTCCTACATCTTTTCATCTGTTATTTTCTACATAAATCCCAGATATTTACGGCTACTCTTTTAACGACGAGTCTGAACCAATACTGCATTTTATAGCAAGGCGGTTATATGCCAGAAATAAATACTGGTTACACATATCATGATTTTGACAGAAAAACTGCTAATTCAAGAAAAATATTTATTCAATTTATTTAAAATGAAACAATCTATAAGAAACCAATTTATTAATAATTTTCAACTTTATCCAACAATACATTCACAGAAAAATAAGTGAATTAACATGTAACTTAGCAAAGCATGAAACAGCTGTCGCATGAGCAACTATAGAATTATACAATTTATTATGCATATTTTCTACTTTGTCCAGCATAAGGAACAGCATTTTGTAAATGTAATGGAACCTCAGATCACAGATGTTTCTCATCAGTTTGTTCATAAACAAATTATAAGATGAAAACTGCCACGGTAATGCATAGTGTCTTGAGTTACAAACATACAAGTCAGCAACAAATTATTTTCAAAAAAGTTAAACTCATGACACAAAATTAACCCTCATGGGCCTTTTAATGTTTCCTGTTGCTTATTCTCATTAACAAACTTGGACAGCAAGTGAGTTCAAGGACCAGGGGCATAGCTAGAGGGGGGGAAAGGGGGCATCCATCCCCGGGCGCAGAATCCAAGGGGCGCCAAACTGATGTTACGACATTTTAGAATTAAATGTTTTCCATCCTTGGCAAGCAGTAGGGGTTGTGAAATCTTCAGTTGTCCCTGGGCGCTGAAAACCCTAGCTACGACTCTGTCAAGGACCCAGACTTTGGCCTTGCAAAAATTATGAATGGACTGTTTTGCAGGCAGAGTGGTATAAAAGTGGTTTTTTTTTTTTTTTTTTTTTTTTTTGTGTGTGTGTGTTGGGGGGTCTATGTCTCTAATAAAAACCCAAAATTTAGAAGTTACTGATGAAGACATGAGGGAGATATTAGAGAATCATAAAAACGAGCTTAACAAAAAAGACCAGCAGCAACAAAAAGACAATTTAGAAACACCTTCAGAGGACGTGAAAAGAAGAAAGATGAATCTAATTCTTTGATTCCCAAAGTTTTACAGCATAAATTTTCAAGCGGTGATAGCATCCTTCTAATGCTTTAAAAAGCTATCAAAGCATTTTCAATGACAATGTCCTGCATCACTTTAGAAACATTTTTAAATGAATGGTACTGGACAAATTTTGTGTGAAACAAAAGCCCAGTAATTCTCAAGCATTCAAACTGCGGTAAGAGGCAAAGAAAAGGTAAACAACATACACCAGATAGTTAGTTACCTCATGCTTTTAAAAAAGATTTCTCATCCAAACAAAACCTGTTTTCTTGCTCCTCACTCACTTATGCTTTTCATTAGTTTGAATGATTTCAACTGATTCCCAAAATACCATTGTAATTTTTTTTTAAAAAAATAAGCAAGCATTTGTGATCCAGAAAACCCATTTTATATTAACTCCTATGAGGAAAATAATTTCAGTTTATGAACATTTCAGATAATGAACAGCCTTTAGGAATGAATTAAATTCAGGAACTGAGGTTTCACTGTAACATATCCAAACACCTAAATTCTTATCTGATGATTAATTTATGCTATGTAAATTAATGAATGTGGAACTGATGATATTTTCATATCACTTAATATCCACAACATCAACTTGGTTTACAGAAAAAAAAAGTGTTCAATACAAGAAACTTGTTTTCAAATTGTATGTAAGCAAATGAATCAATAAATATGTGTGAGAAGCATATAAGTTGCAAACTGCCATGGATAGTAGAATAACTCAGTTCACTAGCATGTCAATATGCAACATGCTATACTTGTAAAAATACTCGAGGCATTTAAAAAAAGTTTTTTAGTTTTCCATTTACTAGTTGCTATCATATAACCTACCCAGTCCTGAGGACGATAAGGCAATCACTTTCCACGTTTTCAGTCAATGAATGAATTATTTCTTTTCATACTCTCCCATGAAAAGAACCGGTCGCAGAGAGATTATTCCTCCCTTCAGTTACAAAAATACAGTTGTAATGTTTATTTTAATTAACATGGCATTTCTTTTTTTCATGTCATTTTTTTTTCATCTTTCTGGCACTTCTGGTTCATGAGATCCAGCAGAATATGTACACTGCGGGGGGGGGGGGGACGGACAGTTCTATATCTTCTATTCTACTGGGCCGATTGACGAAATTCAACTTGTGTTTTTCATGTTTTGAAAGCACGACTTAAGATATTTATTAGATTTATATATAGCAACGTTTTAATAAAAGTATTTTGACACAAAAATTGAACGTTTTCTGAAATGACATGCCAATTTTTTCATATTTCAATTCTATTACTCATATTACACCAAACTACCAAATTTCGTAAAAATCACATGAGTAGTTTTTTAAAAAATTAACTCTCAAAATTTTAGCTCCTCAGTTTTAATTGAGTTTGAATATATTTAATAATCTCTCTTTTTTTATTAAACTTATTTGATTCTTCCTTTCACTTTTCGAAGTTCAGGTTCATTCCAAATAAAATTCACCCATTTTTTATGATTTATTTTTAAAATAATTTTTATAAATTTTTCAAAATTTTTTTTAAAATTATAATCTATAAAAATTTTACCATTATCTTAAAGTAGATGTATTTCTAAGCATATGTGCAAAAAATTACAGTTTTTTATTCAAAATTTCCAAAGATATACGCAAATTTATATATTGGCCCATTTTGATAGTCATTAGCCAATATTTAGTCAGTCACTGGACAGTCAATTAGAATGTCACTTAGTCTGTAAATGTTGAATTTTTAGTCAGTCACTGGTCAGCCAATGAGATCGTCACTCAGTCACTGGTTCAGTCAATTTTTAGTGAGTCACTGCGCACTCAATGAGATCGTCACACGGTCAATGTCCAATTTTTAGTCAGTCACTGGTCAGTCAATGATATCGTCAAATACTCAGTCACTGCAGGAGCCCTGCGGACATATCCAATAAAATTTGTTGAAAGCGATAATAACATCCTGTTAAACAGCTGTTAAACATTATTTGAACACTTTGTTAAAATTAACTTTGGAAAGTAGAAACGATTTGACCTTTTTTTTTCGCTCATGCATAATGTAAAAAGGTAGGAACAAGGTGCCTTTCTCTCCGCTCCATAATGGAAGGTTGCCACATGTTAAGAAATTTGTTAAGTGAATTATGCTTGGTGCAACTGAAAAAATTTCATCAAGATAAATTTTTGAATTTCTCTGTAAATTTTGCACCAAATTTTACAAAATTTAATATCTAGGCATAATTTGAGTCATAGAATCAAAATATGTAAAAAAATTAGTATGTTATTTCAGAAAAAGTCCGATTTTGTGTCAAAATACCTATGTTAGAACAATGCTACACATAAATCTAATATATATCCTAAGTCATGCTTTCGAGACTAAGTTTTGTCAATCGGCCCAGTAGAATGGGAGAACTGCCCCCCCCTTTTTTTGCACAGTGTACATGAAGTAAGTTTATAGCAATGGCAAAAATATAAATTTAGAATACAGATTCAGTAAATGGTGTGATGAAATTCCTGCTACTGCCTGCCTTCAGTGGAGTTGTTATAAGCTACTGAATTTGATTCAAAATGCATCAAAAATTGCAAAACATAAGAGTAAGCTGTTAGGCTTTAGATTTGATATCTGACTAGTAAACACTTTGAATTACTTAAATTTAAGCAAAGCAACAACCTTGTGTTTGGCTTAGATTTTAGTCAAAACTAAATCAGCAATGTAAAGTTGCCTAATTTTGTTTTACTTCAGCATGTATCTCTCTTTTCACTTTGAATTACTGTTTGTTAAACCAACAAGAAGTAAGAGTTAATTCTGGTAATAGTTTGGTTCCTGCAGCTTCAAACTGAAATTCAAATAAATTTGTAAATTGCCTTACACAGCTGACTTAATGTTCTCATATTGAAAAAAAGACAGAATAATTTATTAACAATGTAAACTGGTTAGACTAGTATTTAGATTAAACCAAAATGAGTTTAACCTTCTATATAAGCCTTAGTAATTAAACAGCTGAATTTTATAGGGAATAAAAACAGAAACTGCTTGTATCAGTTCACTGAAAAAGTACAACAAAGATGACTATAATCCTAACATTTAAAAATCATTTTAGGAATTTGAAACTCCAAACTACTTTACTGGGTTTTTTAATGACAATTTGCACTAATATCTGAACATCAGAATATCACTCATTTGAACAGGGAGAAAACAAATATTAACGAATATACTGACATTTTTCCTACATACAAAACAAAAAGTTAAATTTTACTTTTGAGAAATCACTTGACATATAACTTAAAAGTTTTGCATAAAACTTAGTAGCCTGTAAATGCAAAAAAACTTTGTTTCATTAATCATGCTATGTTACACTCTTACCAAAGAATATTGTCAGCATGATGGTTATATCAATAATAGATTACATGGATGGCAAACTCCCATTCCCCAAAAGTTAACTTTCTGCGGAAAAAAAAAAAAAAAAAAAAAAAAAAAAAAAAAAACAGGCATCAGGCATAATTCAGATTAAGATATATGCATGATTAGGGGGGGGGGACTCAGTACTATTGGAATTAAAAGGGAGAACAAATGTTACTTGAAGGGATTTTTATTACTGCTTTTGAAGGGTTGTTTATTATTGCTTTAAAGCATGTTATACAATTATTTGCTTGGGACAAGCATTGATGCAACTGATGCAAGTTTCATGGAAAGCAACACAGAGTATTTTAATACCTCTCAAAATGTGTCCCTTTATTCTTACACTTGGCTTGATCTGCACTGCAAAATCCCAATTCCTGTGCCTTTTTAAACAATGCATTTAACTTTTGATAAGTTAAAGGCGATTTATCACCTTCATTATCACTGCTTTCACTGTCAGCTGGTGATATAGGATCATTCAATTCTTCATTTGTCATTTTTTGACAAATTCTTTGACTTCTTCCATACCTGTTAATCCTCCATAGCCCATTTCTCTTTGCAGATGGTATGATTTCTATGGCCTTTTTTTTTTTTTTTTTTTTTTTCTTTCTTTTATTGAAGGAAATCCTTTAGACTTTATGATACTTTCTGGCCAGAGCTGATGCCAGTCAGCAGTCTATGCTGATGAATGACTGTGTATGAATGAAATTCTAACATGTGACAAATTAAATGGTAACAAGAATACACATATACACAAAATTTACTGTATTTCATAGTCAATTAAGAAAACTAAAATATTGTCAGCACATTTGTATTTTGATTTTAAAATATGAACACTAGCATATGCAGATGCTTATAAGAATAACATTTTCACATGGTACTACTCACTTTGGATCTCCAGCCCATGCAGAAGGAGGTACTTTTGAAGTAAACTGTTCTAGAATCTTTAAAAATTAAGCAGAAATTTTACATTTTATATCTAAAAAACTCTATACAAAATTATAACTTTCAGATTGAAACAAATTATACAACAGCACTCAAAACAAAACATACATCATACATAGGGAAGAAAGTTCACTCTTTTGTAAATTTTTAACCATTTGAATTACCTGTTGCTATCATTTATATAAATCAATTTTAAGCAGAGCCAGTTTAAATGGCATACAAGCATATATAACTTTCTATATCAAACAGTAAGAAAAAATAAAGCACTTCATTTTCATGAATAAAAAAAAATCAGAGTACGGAAGGAATAAAATTTTCATACAATACATTACACAAATTTAGAGAATAAACTAAGATTCCACATGCCCCAAAAATAGAAAAGCACTGTTTCAGCAATATAATGAATGACATGCATTTTCAGTGTGATAATCAGATATACCAAGAGAAATAATCCAATATTGACCAATGATAACAAATTGATGTAGCACAAGAATTCTATCTACCTATGCAAAGGAACACCTTTGAGAAAGACTTTCTAAAGGAAACCATCTTGTATTTATGTTATGCAGAGGAAACAATCACACAAAAAACACACATGCAGTCAGCCTGTTTGCAAGAATTCGAACTTGGTTTGAACAGAGAGCATTTCAGGGTCTTATCCATTCAGCCACTGTCAGTCTCCAATGATAATAAACCAGAATATGTTCATTATAAATTGGCTATTAATCCTTGCATGATGGTTAGTATCAGTGAAGAAAAATTATGACCTATAAAGGTTCTCTATAATTTTTTTTTTCATTCTTTATGAAGAACAATGACCAATATCAGAAAAATGCACAGTGCTCTCACTGAACATTTTTCTGTGCACTGCTCAAACTTTTTCCAAAACCAATACATCACAGTCAATGCATTTTATATGAAAAGCTAGGGAAAACCAAAGGAGTAATAATAAAAGAACAATTCACAATAAATAGCCCTGTAATGAAATTTTTAAAAATCAGAACATTTCTCCAAACTGGGGGATGATCAGCATACACTGACATCTGAGCATAAAATTTACCTCATAAGCAATTTATTACAGTTTGCATTATGGACTCATTAAAAAATTAAAAGTCTGCTAACACTTTAATACCATAAAATAAAATTTATAGGCAGGATATTCTGTCTTTGATTAACAAGGTCTAACCAACAATATGGTCAAACATCAAAATCTTTCAAAAGAAGCAGCACTGATATTTTGTCAGTAATTCATTGAAAATGTGAAGAAGCATACCTTTTGTACTCATAACTTTCAATTACTTTTTTGGCGGGAAAAAAATAATTTGCAGATTAACTGAATCAGATATCTTGGGAATACACACATTACTATGCATGGTAAAATAGCTTGATGTTTAAAATTTTACTCAATAGATGGAAGATATATAGTCAAAACATTGATAAAATTCTGGCAACACTAGCTGCAATATTTCAAACGGCAAGTGATGTCTTTTTGTTTTTGCTATCCTCTATTTCATTTTTATTTTAATTCTAACATTTTCAGAATTCTACGGTTCAATCCATTTTTGCAATCTATGATTAATTTCCAAAATAGTTAGATTTTTTGTTCTGCCACCCATCATATAATACTCATATACAAGACCTTTGTATTTTTCATTAGTATGGATAGCTGCAACTAATTTGGCTTGAGTTGGTAATTTATTACTCAAATTCCTGTAACAAGTTATACTGTCTTTTATAATTCTTTTTATAATTTCCTTTATAGTAAACTCTTGCCAAATGCCCTAAGCCATAGTACGTATGACAAAATCACATTCCACTAAGTTAATTTCCTATGGAAAAAGTGTGTGAAGTATACTCCTTCAAAATTGCTTCACATTTTAAATAAACACATTTAATTACATTATATTACATAGTACAATTATACAGGAAATATGTGTTACACAGGTCTTCACTACATTCTCAAAACCCACGCCAACTCGGGCTCAAATCGAAACTTTTCTCACACAGTTGAGGGATGCTACAATGCCCTCTATGGGAGATCTATGGGATCTATGAGAGATCTCAACATACTTCCTACAGATGACCTTTCAGGACATCAAACTACCTTTTACATGAAATTATTACTTAACATTATTCTTAGTAAACATATAATTTCTAGATTAAATAGTTCTTGCTTATAAATGAGAAATACTAAGCCTAAAACAACATATAAATGTAAACAATGAATTACACAAAATTAATAACATAAATAAGTAATAAGACAATAACATTAAAACTTAAAGAATTCAAATGAATATCAAGTAATTTTTTTTTTTTTTTTTGCGATACTTAACTGTCTATTCGTAACGCACACAGTTTGTGAATGAGTCTCTTGAATTCACCATCAGCAGTTTTTACTTTTACAACACGAACTCTATAATCCTTACCTGGGTAAATTTCGGTGATACCTCCCAGTTTCCAAGGTGTGTTATCTTCCTTAATGATTACTTGGTCGTTTACTTTAATATTTCCTGAAGCATGATGCCATTTTGTGCAAACTTGCAGTTGAGTCAAATAGTCCTTAGACCATTTCCTCCAGAAGAACTGCAACATTTGCTGAACTAGTTTCCAACGGTTGCGAAGTGTTAGTGTCTCGCCGCACAAATTTGGTTCCGGAATAGCCCTTAATGATGTTCCTATTAAAAATGACTCGGTGTAATCACGGAAAAATCATCTGGATCACTTGAAATCACTACTAATGGTCATCAGACATGCCTCGACTTCTGCTAGATAAGTAGCAAATTCTTCATAAGTTAGAACTTGAGAACCAATTGCTCTTCTCATACGATATTTCACAGCCTTTACCGCGGCTTCCCACACTCTACCAAAGTGTGGCGCAGACGGCGGATTGAAATTCCACTTAATTTCTTCCTCTATTAAGTATCTAGCTACCTTTTTTTGGTCAGTACAATATGATTTCAGTTGTCTGTTGGCACCTATAAAATTAGTGCTGCAATCACTATACATTTCCTCTGGTATTCCACGTCTAGCAATGAAATCATTTTAGAGCTACTATGAAGGAATCTGTCGTCATGTCTCCAACTTGTTCTAAATGCAATGCCTTAGTACTAAAGCATACAAAAACACAAACATAGATCTTCACTGTCCGAACACCGCACCCTTTCTTCGGTTCAACTTGGAAAGGATCCGAAAAATCCACACCACATTTCGAAAAAGCTCTTGCGGGATTCACTCTGGATACTGGAAGATCGCCCATTGCTTGATATGACAGCTCACTCAACAGCATGTTACACATTTACGAGTGATCTTGTGAATAGCTGCTCATACATTAATAATCAAGTATCTCTGCTTGATTTCTGAAAGGAGCATTTGTGCTCCTCCGTGACGATACTTATCGTGATAATATCGTATTATCAGTTCTGTAATATAGTGTGATTTAGGCAGAATTACTGGATATTTTACATTCTGTGCGATACTAGCATTTCTTAGTCATCCTCCCACTCTTAAAATACCCTCATCGTCTAAGAATGGATTCAACATATTGAGTTTACTGCCAGGACTCACTAGTTTTCTTTTTTTCAAATGATCAATTTCTTCACTGAATTCTCGCATTTGTACAGAATTTATTACCCAAAAATGTGCTACGGCTAGCTCTCTAGTCTGGAGAAAATTTGATTTTTGTCCTTGTTATTGATGACCGTTTCAAACTGGCTATAAATCTGAGACACCAGGCTATAACTCGTAAAAGTTTCGTCCAAGAATATTTATGAAGCAGTTCATCAATCACAAAATTCTTAATCACAGTAGTATGCACAATGCTTCCCTTTCTCTCAGTTTCTACTACTTCCAGTGGGATATCCTTCAGTGGATGCTTAGGAAAAAAACTATCTTTTCTTTTTAGCCAATATGAACCACACCACCAACGATCACCTTCCAACAAACATTGAGCTGGCACATCCCTACTAACTAAATCAGCAGGACCCTTCCACTGCAATGATTCCAAGACCTGGGGATCTGATTTTTCTGCACTTCAACCACTCTATTACTGACAATCTGTTTCCATTGTTTCATAGAACCCTTTATCCAAACTAAGACAATTAAGGTAGCCAACCTCGTTCGTAGGGCGTTTTTTAAAATGTTTGTTATATTTTTGAATTTAAGTGATTTTTTAATGAATTGTACTCAAACTTATGTGTAATAACTGCAAAAGCGATAAAAAAATCATTATTTTGAGAAATGTATGCAAAAAACTGAAAATTTTATATCAAAATTAATAAAAATATCAACCATCACTGACAAAAAAATATTGTTGATAAAAATCTAGTTTTGACTTTATTTTATACATACTACTTAGAAACATGTATTGAACCAGAATAATTTGAAAATATTGATTCACTAGCAAAATATGGTCAAATATGTCAGTAAACACTAAATTTTTTTTTTAAATACACACGCTATTGAAGAAAAAATAATGTAACTTAAATTCTATGGGATTAATTTTTTAACTGCTAGTCTACATTATGCATAATAATGTATAAAACGTGTGTGCAAAATTTCAAGTGATTCTATAATTAACGTTTAGAATTACCATGGTTGCCGTGAACAGAAATCGCGAAAAAAACAACTAATCAAAAATCATGTTTAAAGTTTTCAGATTGTTACATGACATTACATTCACAAATATTCACTAAAAATGCTCCTGCATTATATGTGACAAAGTGAGAGTATAACATTTAAAAGAATAGAAACCTCAACATTATGATTGCCTTTTAATTCATCAAAAACACTTTTTTTATTTGCAATAAATGTTCCAGATAATTTCATAGACATATGTTTCAGTTTCATTGTGATTACCAGCATCAGCAGTCACATATTTAGTGTATTAGTCGCTGTAAAATTTTCGCTTTTTTGAATGACTACACATAAATTTTGGCATTTTCGAACTTTCGATTATTAAACAGAATAAAAAAAGTGTAGAAAAATGAATCTTTAGCTGATAAATTATCGCAGGAAATTTGTACACAAAAACTGAAATACCTAAATCTCAATGTAAACAAAACAATAAGTTTGAAACGTTGTTGCCAAACGTAAAACAGAAAATATATAATGAAAATACTTTGCCAGATTCTCCAAACATATCGAAAGGCTTAAAGTTATTTAATTTATATATAACACAGAAAAAAGTGGAAATTGCAAATTTAATTTGTCCTTTAAACTTTAACTTCCGGTGTGGCAGACAGTTACTTCCGGTCTGTTGTCTCGGAAAAACGGGTATATCTCCACTTCTAATCAACATATCAAGAACAGAAATACTGTTTTCGATAGCTAAGAATATGGCTTTAAAAAATATTAAATTTTTAAAAAATGAGTTTTTCAGTCGAAATCGGCCTTTTGAACGAGGTGGGTTACCTTAAGGAATCAGTGAAATACACAAACTTATCAATAAGATCCTTAAAAACCTCTCTCAGATACTTTCCTATTCTAGCTCCTATGACTGCTGTCATTAGTTCCAAAATCAAAAAATTCCTTTTTCCATTTTTTTATGTCATATGCAGTTTGACTTTCCAGTGCCATACTCCTCATATACATTTACCCCTTTTTTGTAGCAATTCCACTTTTTCTTTAATGGACACTGAAACATGCTTTTTGCTTTGTAAATCCTTTTCCAGCTCCAGAATTAGAAACTCTTTTCAACATAAAAGAAAGCTTAAACTTTAATTTTCATAAAATTGATGTAATAAATAAGCGGGATCAAATCAGAAAGTTAAGGAACAGGGCAATCTGCTATGTTAACTGAAATTCCTTGAAATCAGTAAAGTATAATTTTAGCCTAGCTTAATATCATCCACTATACATTATTGGCTAGGTATCATGAGATTGGCGACAAAAGACAAGTTCTGCTAAATTTTTTCCTTCTATTGTGCATTGTAGCAGTTAAGCCTGAATTGTATTAATTTAGTTATTTATTATACATAAGTCTATTTTTTTCACATTCCTTAGGCTTATCTGAGTCCTGAATAAATAAATTCGCACATATACTTAAGGCTTATAAAGGACCGGCGCTAGATATTTTACTGCCTGAAGCAGTCTCTAGAGGTCCTAAATTCTGCTACCAAGCACCTCCCTAATTTCTAAATTTTTTCTGCCCTTAAATTTTGGGTCCCAGTGCTTTTCCCAAATTCTAAAAATTTTGTCATGCCTTAATGTTACTGCTCAGTGCTTCTCTAAACTCCAAAAATTTTGCCTTTCCTAAATTCTGCCGCCCGTTTCGGCCATACGAGCCCGGTGCGTCAGTTCTAGGTTTATGTGAATAACAAATCAGTTATTCTTAATTCAAAAAGCACTAAATGTAATCTTTTGATCTATGAGTATCATTAACAATATCTGTTTTTAGCATATGGAAAGAATTATTTGTTAAATTTTTCTTCGTCAATATTTCTCAGAGCATTTCTTCTTAAATCATCACATTTCAACATTTCTTCTTAAATCTGTAATCATCGCCATGCATAATGTCAACATAAAAGGTTAACATACCTTATGCTGTTCAATTACTAATATATAAAAAAAAATGTAGGCATCCTCAAGTTATCATGTGTTGATAAACATGTGGTGATGAAAGCAAAATAATACTAATGATTCGACAGGATGGCATCAGGAATATAAAATATTTGTAATGTAAAATAAACAATGTTTCTGTGTAGAATGTTTTGGTTTAGTAGAATGTTTTGACCTGTTAAAATCCTACAGCAGCTTAAGTAATATGATGGGTAAATTGCATATTTTCAACTTCTTAGTTACATCAATTTAGCAGTGAACTTTTTTTTTCATGTTATGTGTTTCTAAGTGAGCAAAACATCTGAAGTTTAAAGTGTATTGTTTTACTTAAAATGCTTTCTCAGTTTATCAAGAATACTGCAATCTGCATTTATTTGAATTTAAACCAATCCAGGAGAAGAAAATACAGTTGATTCTACATACTCAAAAAGAAGAGCTTTTAGGTTAAAATTATTTAGGAGAAATCTCTATTTATATGATTATTTCCTAGTGAATTACAAGAGGATCAATGTTCTAATTTTTTCTCAGCTGTATAAAAACACTTTTAATTTTTGTGTTCTGAAATGAATCTTTTGAATGAAATAAAATATACGCTTTTCCATCAACTTCTGAATAAAAATTAATGGCTAAATTTCCATAGCTGAAACAAAAAAAAAAAAAAAAAAAGAAAGAGAGACCAGGGGGGGAAGAGATTTTTATCACTAAAAGCAACGTTCTCTCTCAAAGTTTGCCATGCTTTATAAATTCCTTTCTTTTTATAGCCTTAGAGAAAATGCTGCCTAAAGTTTCATCTTACAAATCATTGTAGTCTGTTTTGAAGTTAATTATTATGAAATTATTTAAAATTATCCGAGACACATATTCACTCAAATGCATGCTGCTGTTACATTTTTTTGTAAACATGTCTATTTTTGTAAGCTGCAAATAACTTTGTTTTTCAGTTCTAAACTATATCTTCATTTAGCAATATAAATGCATATAATGCAGTCTACATATCGTTTCAAAATTATACAACCAGAAAAAAACTACTACTAAAAGACTTTATGAAAGAGGCTATTAAACAGTTTCTGATAGAAGTATCTTCATAGACATTTCTTAGGAACTAGAGTTTCTCTGTAAAAACTACAGCGGATGAATTTCGCTATGGGAATTTCTTCTCAATTAAAAAAAAAAAAAAAAGACACCTTTATTTGTTAAAACATGCATACCTTCAATTCAACTTTCACAACATATCGTTCAGTCTGTATATCTTCAGTTACTGCCTATCAAGATAACCAAAAACCTACAAAACTATTGTCCAACCTGACAGCTCCTTTCAGAGTAAATGAATGAAAGTGGTTTCTACATCAACAAGGGGATCTGCTACTGCCTTAGCAAATGAGAAATTTAATCCTCTTTCAACACAGCATTAACAGTTTCATGCATCATTATCTTCCAGGAAATGTCTGCATGTGTTTTATCTTTTTAATATGATTGCTACACATTCTGTATTACAGCTAAATACATGAGTTTGAAAACCATATTGGCTTTAATGAGAAGAGATTATCTCAAGGGGTCATAAAATACTCATTAAGCCTATAAGCAGCAAACTTCCCATTCTAAAGATAAACAAAGTGCATCTCTCAGCCGAGGAACATATGATTACATTTGAGACATATGTTGGCCAGCCCCTCTAGAGAAAAGCAGAGTCATCCATACTGCCTCCAAAAAGATCTCTGAATGAATCAACTGAATGGCTGTATGTTGAATCATACAGCTGAAAAAAATAGCAGAATGACAAAAGAATGACTAAAAATGAGAATCAGACCCCAAAAAAATCTTCTCCCCATTTTCCTTGAAATTTTACAGGACCTCTCAAAGCTGCTCATATACCCTCGAAAATCTCTCATGTTCTGTTGGGAAGATGCCTATCACAATTCAAGTCAATGGATTAATTGGTATGTTTGGCTAAAGTAGCTGAATGATAGTATTAACAAATATTATAAATTTTTAAACAAACATGCAAACAAATTTAAGAGATGATTAAAATAATAAGAGGAAAATAAAGCAGTAAATCTCTGTTACATGTATCACAGGATTTGTTTAAAATTGTGGCATATATATATACTTTTTACTTACCTTATTTAGAAGTGTATGTGCTACACGATGTGGGTATTCATGATCTGATATTAAAGCAGCAGATAATCTGTCAGCTCTTACATAAACATGACACATGTAGCCTATTGGAAGAAAAATATTAAATTACTACTAGGAATAATTTTTTGTGGTTGAATTTTTCCAAAAAGCACCTTAATCTGCATAAAATATCTTTAAGGAATTATGAGCATATACAGGGTGGTCCAAACTATACCAAATCCAAAGCAAGTGAAGGACATATGTAAAATGGCCCAAAGTAAGTGCAATGATTAAATTCTTAATAGCCTGCTATTACTTAGCAAAATATAAAAATTAAATTTCATTATATTTAGCAAATACTGACTTTAGAAGCTACTATAAGTTGTTCTAAATATGAAAGTTTTCTAACAGTTCTTAGACTTGATGAATAATTTGTAAAATCATCCAAAAAAATCCAGCTATTTACAAACACTTAGTTCTGCTTTTTGACCACAAAAATTAAAACATACTAAAGACAGATTGTTTATGTATCAAAAAAATTAAATGGGCTTAATATTTGGAAGATAAAAAGGCAATAAAAGCAGTAATAAGTTTTTTTAACTGGAAAATTTTCAAAATGGAAACCTATGAATTCAAAGCAGTATACTAAGATAGAGAATATTGATGAAACAGAAAAGCATTCAAGGACAGTGTATCTTGCAAGAGATGATTTTGAAAGACTTCCTACACAAAATCAATAAAAAAGTACTTGCATAAAGTGGTATACGAAGACTAAGTTACGTTATTTGTACATGGCAAAGCTTACCATGGCTATCTGCCTAAGGATAGGGATGCCTTCATGGAAGACTTTCTAAGGAAAATGGCTTGCATCCATGTTACACACTTAAACCAACTTTAATGAAAACTAACCATGCAGCTAGCATATTCACTTGGATTTGAATCCAAGTTAAATACCAGTAGTCAGCACTAGGTTATGCATGGCTAGTCACTAAAGGGGGATAAATAAAGAAGCCTACTAAATAATAAGTTCTTTGCAGTTTTCTTCCCCCCCCCAACTTCAATTTTTTTTTTTTTTTTTTAAATAAGAATCTGCTTTTAAAATACTTTATGGGAATTCACTTTCTGTATAGACAAAGTATTACTTGAATCACATGAGAAATAGCCGTTCTTCCTAGTAAAGAGACCTGGACCTTAAGTCCAAACCATTTGCAGAGACTTCTTCCCATTCTTATTGCCTCATCTTATCGTTTTGCTTCTCTTTCATCATTTGCACTTCTGCAGAAGAAGTGGGTTCTATATATAAACCTTTGAAACCTGTCCAGCAAATTTATGAATATTGTGTTGATTCCTGTTCCTTTAACTCCTCCAATAATCATTTGCAAAGACTTTTACAAAAGACATACTGATGAATAGTCAGACAGATGGATACTGCTATAAAAATATCTTAAAATGGAAAGTCAACTCTGCAGTTCTGCTCAATTTATAAAAACTGCAAATAAATAAGTTAATAGACTGTTATATCAAACATCTAACACCAACATTTATACATCATCTGCCATCTGTGTGTGTCCTAATCCTATGAAAATCTCAAAAGCATACAGAAATACTATAATAATATTGAATAATGATCAATAAGCCTATAATCTGAGAGTTTTTCTTCAAAATTACAAGTATAAATTTCTTTTTAATCTTGAACAAATATTTTCTTTAATATTTAGGAAAAAATACTGTCACAGCTTTTTTGATTTTATTAAAATAATTCAATGATTTTTTTTTTCAAAAAAACTTTTAACTTAAAAACTTTTGAATTTTGTAGGAAGCTTTTGAAATGCAAATTCATGCATAAAAATTGAAGTAAAAAATGCCACTTAATTTGTTCCTTCACAGATGTCCGAGTAGCTGGCTGGCATCGCTCAACTAAGATCTGACTAGTAAAGTTCATGAACTCTTGAATACTGAAACAGAAATTGAAAATGAATGACTATATATTCTTAGCTCTAAATTTAACAAAGAATAGGCAGTTAACAAGAATAAAATACCATACGCACTCTTAATCCAGAAATTAAAATAAGCACATGGGGAAATTTCTTTCTCAGGAAATTTAAGAGAAATAACTTTCTTGGGTACTTTTTTGTTACAGTGGGCCTTGACCATATTTGGCAATTTTAGATTTGCTCCAAGGTTTCAGCTATAATTTCACCAAGCTCATGAAGCACAAATATAAAAATAAATGCAATATATAATAATAATACTCACATGTTGTTTCCTAAGAATATTTTTAAGAATCCTTAGCCTTATTATTATCACATGTAATTGTTCCACTCAATTGCAGCAGTTTCACACAGATTAAGCTGTTTGTTACACCATTTCTTCGATGTCAACATTTCTGCCCAAGAATACATAAATCTAATAGCACTGAGGAATGATATTCTGGAATCACTAAACCAATTTCCAAAACGCGGCATTCTTTTTGCAATTTTTGACACTGCACCTCCATAACCTGATAACTTGATGGTAACCAACATAACTTGATGTTATGGTTTCATCCATAACATCAAATTTCATGTGGCCATTTTGGCATACTTGTTTGACAGGTAAGAGAACTCTTTCTCGAAAAAACATGGCATTCACCTCATTACTTGATAAATTAAAGATTGCTAACCTCATATTCACACACACAAAAAAAGGCAATAAATATGTTTTTAAAAAAGCAATTCAAATTCAAAAACCTCGTCAAAAATTAATAATATAAGAGCATGTGGCAAGAACAAGATGCAACACGGCGCTAATACATGATTATATAGCAAAGTATAGGAAAACGCAGCCAGTGCTAATATATGATCACGTGGTGAAGTATAAAAGAAACACACAAGCAGGTTTTGGCAAGATATCTCAGTTCACTGGTGATTCAATCTCAGGGGCCGCTATAACAAAGAAGTATCCTTTCTTGCTAGTTACACACAGTCAAATTCCCTAAAATTCTACTTCTTCAGGAAACTAGCACTAAAACTGAAAATATTTAACATTTTATTGCAGTTTCATATTAAGGCAGTCCCGTATTAAGGCAGTTTGTTCGAAAATATCTGCCTATTCTTTCAATGTAAGCAAATTTAGCGGTATATTATAACATAAAAAATGCAGTGAAGTACTAAAAATGTCTGCTGCTACACAGAATAACATCTTCAAAATTCTTCTGAATTAAAAAAAAAAAAAAAAAAAGAATGCATTCAAATTGTATTTTCTAAATAATATCATTATATATTAGGTCAGCACTTCACTAAATACACTGATATTAAGCATAACTAAAACACACGCTGATATTAAGCATAATTAAAACAGTCTTCAAATTATTAGGGATAACGCGCTGTATTCTATAACAGATTAGTTCAAGTAAACATTGCCTCTTCAGAAATTCTTAAAATATGATGCTTGTTGTTGAATATTGCAATATTATTTCGTGTATTACATAGTAAGTTATTTCATCATGGAAAGGTTGGCTTAACTGAAAAATAATGAAAATCTCAAAGCATAAATCATAAAATTCCCTGAATATTTTGCAGCCGAGGATTTTCACTTACACTTCCAAAGATCCTGTCAGATACGGATGCATTACGTTACATTTATTTTTAAAAGTCAAGCTCTGCCAGCGTTAGAACCATTACAAGAGATCAAGATCTTAATTTTGTAGAGACATTAGGTTAATTGGAAGCAGGATCATGAAAAATTAGCAACACCTTTGCCGGGAATTGAACCGCAGACCTCTGGAATACGCACCCAGCATGCAGACAACAACACCACAAAGGCTTGCCAAGAAGGCGGGAGAAATGCCTTATATACTCCTCCTTTTAAAGGGGTTTTAGGGGACCTAATTGCCAAATCCTGGGTGTAGAGAATCATCATCCGCCACCCTTTTTAGTTCAGGTGCCACTGTAGAGACGTTAGGTTAATTGGAAGCAGGAGTAATGAAAAATTAGCAACACCTTCTCCAGGAATCGAGCCGTGGACCTCTAGAATATGCATTCAGCATGCAGACCGACACACCATGAAGGCATGCAAAGAAGACGGGAGAACCTTAAAATTTAAGCTGATAGTATAATTTGATACGTTATACGTCACGCAGATTTTTTTTTTTTTTTAATTTGGCATCTGTTACCATGGTTGGTTTGATTTGTTTGTTTAATTACAGCAAAGCACATAAGGGATACCTGCATAAATGGAGAGATGCCTTCATGGAGTACTTTCTAAAGCAACTGGCTTGTACTAATATTTGTACACGGGGAAAATCACGAAAACGCCACTTGAAAATTCTCTTCATATCTAATTTAGCAGAGTGGAGCAGAAGATCTATATAAAACCTCTGAAGAATATCTGTTCCCTTTTATGCCAAAAGGTCTGTCAACTCATTTCCATACAGACTACAATGTAATTGTACCCACACGAAAGCAAGTTTTCCCTGAATTCCTTTCAGAAGCACCCTGCAACTCTGTATATGGGAACCCCCATTCTCCTGGTTGCTTTTTAAAGCCTGGAGAGCAGAGATAGAATCTTAAAAAAATTACACCCTTCCCAAGAGGGGGAAAGAAGAACATCAAGTTGTTTCAGGGCTATATGGATAGCTTCAATAAGCTGTAAATGAGCCAACATGTAGGTAAAATGAAAGAAAGGTCACTGAAAACAACAGCAACAGGACCCTGAGCAAAATCCAGAAGAGACCCATTAGTGCAGTTGTGAAGTCTCTCGTCAGAAGAAAATGAGTGCTAATAGTTTCTAAGACAATAGCACCAAGGGCAATATGACTAAGATCACATTTTCTCACATTCAGAGCCAACTGCAACTGACATCAAGTGAAATGTATTCCAAAAGAATCACAAAAAATTGTAGTTCATAGGGCACATCATTAAAAGCCTCATAAAGGGTGTTCTCATGAATGCATTGGATGAAGCCCTAAGTCTTTAGATTACAATCTCTGCAATTGTTGTATTCACACCAAAAAGGATTACTTAAGAGTCTAATTAGTTAACTGAAAAGAATAGTTTCATTCTTCTGAACTAAATTAGCCACTGACCACTGGTCATAAATTGCATAGCAAGCACATAAGTAGGTTTAGCCCATCATGATGCATAGCACCTGGTTTGGGGAAATATCAAGGAGATTCAAGACGTTATCCCAGGCAGAGATCAAAACTTCATTCCAATAATTCAGAGTCGGCTGGATATATAACTTGTAAGCAGTATTCAGGGTAGTCCTACCATATCCCCATTTAACCCCAGCCAACCTTTTAAGAATAGAGAGCCTCTTCTTGCCCTTGACACAACATGATCAGAGTGTGCTTGGTCTATTTCAATTTGCTATCAAAGGTACAACCCAAATAAGTTGAAACATCATTATATTGCACAACAGTACCCCTATAAACAAGGCAATGGGTGAAAGGTTGCCTATTTAAAGTAAAGAACTGGCAAGTAGTCTTTCTTAAATTTATGGTCATACTATTTTGCATACACCCCAGCAATCTAGCCTTTCAAGAGTCAAATTCAGGATGCCATTTAGCTTGAACTGGTCTTTTTTCGATGTGTAGCATCAAATAGCGAGATCATCCGCATAAAGAGCCATATCGGAAAGCCTGTCAGAAGCCAGTATATCAAGGAGATCATTAACTCTAGCGTTAATAAGCAAATGCTCCCCGTACATTCAATGACCGTTTACCGCAGTACTCATATCGAATTTCTAAAGCATAAAGTGAAAACAGCTATCTTTTTATCACCCCTTCTATTTAAATGGAACTTTTCTTTTCAGACACGTGATTCCATTGGAAGAAAGCAAGTTGTTGGAATTTGCCAAATGTGTTTTTTTGCTCCCAAGAAGCTTTTGGAGAAAAATGAGAAAATCATGCAAACCTTGTGGAAATCCAATTTGTGATGAGGATTCAATCTCAATATGCTTATACAAAGCATGCATTGAAACGTAATTTTTTTCTCTAATTATATTTGTCAAGATATTAGTAATAAACAATAACAATATGTGCTGAAGCATATTTTCTATAATTATATTTGTCAAGATAATAATAATAAATAATAGGCGATAATTAATAATAATAATGTTTTATTATATTTGACATAATAATAATCAGATACTTTTTACATGTGAACGAGAGACAATAATGAGTACCTGGATATTGAGCAATGGTATAAGAAAGTTTAATACAAAAAAACTCAACAATAATTTTTCCCAGAAAAGGTTACAATCATATATCTAGTTCAGATTCATGAAAATAACGAGGATTGAAAGTGGCATAGCCAATGCTATGCAACTTTTTAGAAATGATAAAAATTACGATAACACTCACAAAAAGTTACCTGGGTACCTGGTCATCGATATTAGGGTCAATAAAGACATCGAACAAAGTAAGGCTAATCACAGGACCCTGGGGAAACCAGTTTCGTTTTGTTTAAAGCTAGACATGGAATTACCAAAGCAAGTGACACAAAAGAGCTGGGAAAGAAAATTCCTAATCCAAGAAAGCATATTGTTGCACACACCCAGATCTGCAGTTTTTCTATATATCTCAGTCGCCAAGAACTATCAAAAGCAGCCTCAAAGTATACAAACACAGCCAGGACAGAGCATCTTTAGTCAAGGGCCTTCCTTCTTAACCACTTGCACTAAAAAGACGTGCCACACACGTCGAGATGCTTTTGTCTCAAACTGCGAGCGACATGAACACCACGTTGATAGGCATTTATCGCAAAAAATGAAAATAACGTGGTGCACCTGTCGTCTAACAACGAGATTGTTTATGCTTAGGAACGTGCAAGAACTCAGTTAATACACAATAATTTAATATGCTCATTACAATACAGATTTTTTGGGGCAACAGTTATGTTTTTCATATATTGCTTTGAGCTTGATAACTCACGGAATGTTATTCTTTTTGTAGTGTTTAGAATGCTAAATAAATAAGTTCGCTGTTAATTAAAAAGGTTTTCTCTGTGAAATATATTACCATTCGTCCGAAGTTATTAAATAAGGCAAGAAATTGATTAATTTCAAACAGTTTATTTCTCGAGTTACAGCTCTGGATTGCACTCGCAGACACGGAGCGGCGTAAATGAGACACTTTACCGCTTGTCATATTGTAGCACACGGCACTGCAACTGTGAAGTTTAGTCGTAGCGCAAGTGGTTAATACAGTGGCTTAGAAAAGTAACTTGTTGGTTTGTCAATTGAAGTTTTCTAAATCCAGCCTTCTGTAGCAATCAAAAAGTTATTATTTTCAAGATACCAGTTTAGACGAGATGTGATCATTCTTTACATGACCTTAAATAAAACACTCATAAACAAGATAGGGCAATAGCTGTTCAAATTTTCAAGTGGTGTATTCTTTTTATGTATAGGTACAATAATTGCTGTTTTCCAAATCACAGAGAAACCAGAATTCCAGCTTTAGTTGTACAGTTCCAGTAGCACAGAGGTATTATTCACAGTCTCTTCAGCCAATGCTTCCCTTATTTATTTCAATTTTTCATTTTGATGATGCAAAGATAATTGTAAATTTTTTATAAAGATGCTCCTAAACAAAGCATATTGGTCCTTTCCTGAGTTCCTAAGCATCTTTTTATGGTGCTCCCTTTCCTTGATGCCCTAAACCAGCGTGGTGCAAACATATGGCCCTCTTATTCATTTTGTAGGAACTTGCCCTTCTTACTGCAAAAAAAATCTTAGTTAGGGGAAAAAAAACTTACTGCAGTAAATCGTATTCATGAAAAACAAGCAGTTTAAAACAATCATTAGGATGTGAACCAGCTGGCCATGTTCACTAAAATTCAAAAAAGTGCCATCAGCAGTGTTGGCAACCTGCGCTGCAGGGAATTTAAAAAAAACACACAGATTTACTGGGTAAGTGCTGACACTGGCAAAGTGTTTCAAAGTTTTATTTCCGTTATTATTTCTAAAGAAAACAAAACAAGAATGTGGAAATGTGGTCCTGTTGACATTATGCTATTCATTCTAAAATACATTTTTTCAGAACAAAATTCCAAATAATGTAATATCACAGAGAACCTTTTTCACAATTGCTGTAAGTGTTTCCAGTTGCAATAAGAGTTTTTTTTTAATAAAAATCATTTTTGAACTACAACATTTAATTTTGCATTTATAAAATAATTATGTACTATCAGCACCCATTTTAAAATGATGAAATTAAAATTTTTCTTCACAAATAAAGGTAGTCCTTTTTTTCTTTTTTCTACATTCTTTACAGTTATTTGCTTACATTAAGAGGCATGACAAATTCAAAGACTTGCCCAGGTGGACAAACTCAGGGTCCGGCCCGGGCAGCAAATGCTCTAGCTATGCCACTGGTCAGATATGACATATATATATATATATATATATATATATACATCTTCAATCTCTGATTTTTCATTTAAATTGAAGAAATTTACAGAATAAAACCTATCCTTGGTTTCCAATCAAGACAACTGCTCAAAAGAAATGATGTTCAATAACAGTGTTTTAGTTTACAGAAAGACTCATAATTTTCACAGGTGGTCATTTTAAGTTATCATACAAGAAGTTTGACTATAATATGACCGAACTATATTTTTATTTTACTGCTCTAATCACTTTTTCATGTGGCATAAATTTTATAATGTCTGATGCTAAATAGATCAAATCAAAATTCCTAAATAACACAAGATTAAAATATTACTAATGCAACACTTGTATTGTGAGGGACCAAAAAAAAAAATTAATTAAAAATAACAATTTAAAAAAAATCAGAGTTCAGCTTTTATATTATGCCCAAAGGGTCTTTTCCTTCTTTTTATTATTATTATTATTATTATTATTATTATTGTTGTTTATTTTTATCAATTTACACACGTTTTACTTTTAATTTCGCCACCTTCTTTTCCTTCAGTTTTGTTCAGCTTTTTATTATGCCCAAAGGGTTTCCTTCTTTTTATTATTATTATTATTATTGTTGTTGTTGTTATTTACACATACATACACGTTTTGAGAGCATTTGGGTTAATGCCTCTTTCGACTAAAAATATTTAAAAACAGTATATCTTTAGAATTTCCAATAGACAGTCATACATGCTAGAGTTAAATTATTTTATTTTATAGAGTGTGTTGTCACTGCTTGCTTTAAAATCATACATGTTTTGTTTGAGTTTCTTAATCAAAAAATTTTTTAATTAAAAAATATGAAACAGATAACAAAATAAATTTGAAATTCAAGATTCAGGTAAAGGACTACATTATTTTAAGTTTGATAGCTCGAGGTATCGTTTTTTCACAATGCAAGAAACATACATACATTGATGCAGATTCTTCGTTATTTAATTTCTTTAAATATAATATAATACAGGGCGATGATACTTGGTGGCAACAATTTGTAAAGTGATACAGCCATTTATAACAATTCGAAACAAAATGCCATTTTGAGTCCATTAGCCCCTAAAAAGATAAGCTTTAATTATTAATAACTGTAGTATCCTAGAGTTTATAATTCTATGAAAAAGCAAATCAGAGTCTTTGTATATTGCAGTTGAAAGTTATTAAATCTATAGAAGGCAATGAATGAACAGAAAATATTAATTCATTACAGCACTTAATACTGCAGAAGTGAATGGTAATATTTTCTAAGAGGATCACTGAATGTATTTTCTTTCTACTTTGACCCCCTACAGAAGTACTTTTTTACTCTTCAGTATTCCAGATGGTGTTCTTAGCTTAAAGCATCATGTTACTTAAATCCTAATGAAGTGCTGCTATGGTTACCTAAGTTATTAGCTTCTACTCTCTTTGGCAAAAAGTTCCATTTTGACCTTGGTTAAAAAAAGGTAGCAACCCACAATTCTGATATCAGGAAATCCAGTGCAACAGCCAGCACCATCTATTGGCAAAAGGTAGCATTCACTTTCTCAAACTTACTCTTAAGCCACAGTTTTAGCTGAATGTTTAATACTTCAGTTTTTTGTGGCAATTGTACTGTAGAGCAATTGATATAATGAAAATATTGCAGAGCTTGTCTTCACTGATAAAGAAAAACATAATAATATGATGTAAAGGATAGCTATTGATCATAATTATAAATTAATCCATAGTGATAAATTTTAATCAATGAAAATGAGGATACGAGTTCTAAAATATCAACCACAGACTGTGGTATATAAAACCTACAGCTCATAAGGAACTTACATTACAAACTGGCAACTAAAAACAAAACACATTGAAAGAACAATTACTTGCCTGTTCCTTTGGAAAAAGCCAAATGTTGTTAAATCACTTGTTGAGCATAAAGCGACAGCTTTGTTTGGATGCTTATACAAAATTGCCAAATGGTATAATTTCACCATTGTCACATAAATAAGCACCAAAACTCTTTCAAAGAAACCTAAATAAACAAATATATATAAACATAAAAACAACATAATAGACATATAAAAACTACTAATAATTGTAAATAACAGAGATTTACTTTTAAATGAGCTATTACAATTTCTCTTTTGAATACAGTTCCTAAATTTAAAATTATTAAAACTGGAAACTGTATCCAAAACAGAGATCAATTCGTCAACGAAATTATCATATAATTAAATACTTTACTTATAATTCCATATTTTTTACCCTCCACGAAAAAAAAATCCCCAAACCTAAAAAAATCATTCAATCATAAGGAAACATTACATGAGAAAACAGAAAGAAAGAAACAATGAAGTTGAAACACTTTTCTAGCTGGAAAGCTGCCAATTTTAGCATGCTATTAACTTATATTTTCTTACCTTTTGCTTAAAAATTTTAAGAATTAAAGCAATATCATGTTACCATAACTGGCATGAAAAAATATGTGCTTATCATCAAAATAAAAGAATAATCTAAAAAAATATTCTCACTGATTAAAATTTCCAAAGAATGTCTTATGGTGTTTTTATTTACATTGATTACCTGCAACTGAATGCAAAATTGCACTTTTGCACATAAGTTAGTGTTTAAAATATGTGAACTCGGTGACTAAGAATCCATTGTACAATGTAAGCATATTGGAATTCATATCAAGAATCTAGAACCACCTTTTTAAGCAGTGAATCGGTTTGAGGCAGCCTGGTAAACTGAGTCAAGAGCAAAAATTGTAACTAAAGATCATTTTGGTACTTGGGTATTATCACGTTGACCAGCCAAGTGGAGCAATTTACTGCCAATTACGGATGACCATGTCCTTTATAATTTCACAGTAATGATTGGCGACTGGCAACCTTTACCAAAATTTCCGCCAATGGTTCACAGGATAATACTACCATAAGTACTGTCATTGATGGCTCAAATAAACAGTAAAGCAACTATAAGCAATTTCATTTTAGTCCTTTAAGTTGATACAGGAACTCAAATCAGCCATTCTACTGCTGCACAAAGGCTTCACAAGATCAGACTTTATGATAAAAAACCAACAGTTTGTGTCTTACTTGTTCCACCTTCCAAAGGAGACTATTTAAGGTGGTGTCATTAACATGCTTAATGGAGCCAAGAGGAATGGAACCATGAACTGTTTACTGACAAATACAGGTACAGCCTGAACAGCAGTTCTAGCTATGTTCTGATTTGAAAAGAGCCAGTAACATGCCTTCCCTTACTCATGAAAGATCCTATCTCCATAGAAGTGATTTCATGGAATCATCAAAAATGGCCACACATGTCTGATGGAGATTCTGTAACATCCCACATATAAGGATGTCTTGGAACCCTACATATGGTTACTTAGGAGTACTGTTTGCCCAGATAATTTCTTAATGGATGACAATTGCTCAACTGCTTTCAGCACCAAAGGTACCAAAACACTTCGAAACAGGACTGGAGAGCTCTCTCACCAGACTCACTAACTGAACATGTGTGAGCCTTATGCGAGCGAACTGAATTGTGCAAAATGCCTCCCTTGACCCTCCATTGCAATTATGGACCATAAACCTCCAGGATCTGAAAAGTGTACTTTCAGTAACAAATACCATGCAGTTCTGCAATACTTGATCAACAATTTGGTCATCAAGTTGTTAAGTTTGCATTTATGTCACTGGTGACCACACACTAGATTAAAGAAAGATTTACTGTAAAACAGGTGGTGGTAATAGATTTATGGCGCAACGCTCTAAAGGCCATATGCATCAAACACAGGATTTATTGTACATATGTTAGATAGAGGAAAAGATTTAAAAACAACAGCACACTTATAAAATCGAGAAAAGTAGTAAGATAATGAAATGGTGGGATGAATGCAGATTAAGATTCAGATAATGATATATGCAGTATGGATTTAAAATCATAACACAAACACATCCGATTCATTAAAATATATAGCATTAAAATTCTAAAATCTCGACATAAAATTAAATTAAATAACAGAGATCTGTTTCTTAAAGATACTGAAAGAAATTGATATTGACCTTTCTTCCGATTAAATGGTCCAGAGGCAGATCACAGCCATTAAAATTCTTCTGATGAAGATTATTAAAAAATTGACGCTCAATTAAAATGTGATGGACTGGCAAACATTACAATTTGGACAAACAGGTTCATTCTCAGCTTTTAGTAGATAGTTATGTGTCACCTTAGTATAACCTATTTTAAGCAGAATCAAAAGACCTTCCTCCTTATGATTTCTAGTACAATCCCAAAGCTCTATTTTAGGCTTCACTGTTCTTAACTTGTTACAAGATTGGAGGTCGCAAAGTCGCTGCCACCTTTTTAAGATCCTTTGTTTGATAGCACGACTGATATCTCTCAAAGCGATGGCTTCAAAGATGAGGCGACCGGACAATTCAACAGCAGATTTCGCTGCAATGTCTGCCAGCTCATTACTCTTTATTCCTGTATGTCCGGGAACCCAGCAGTACAGAATTTCATATCCACGACTTGTTAATTTAATATTCAACTTGAGTACATCCACTATCACAGGATTCTAGGTGCTGGAAAGATTCTAAAGCTTTCAGTGCATTGTAAGGGTCTGTATATATAATGAATTTTCTATGGAGTAGCACTGAGATGTACAAAAGCACATAATATATGGCAGTCAGTTCGGAGGTTAAGACCAAGGAAGCATTGTGTAAGCATCTGCCCTCCATGTGGTCACCAATTATAAATGACATCCCAACATGACAAGTTGGCTTAGATCCATCCGTTTTATATAGAAAGATAATTGCTGTGACTAATGCCTGTGCTCAGCAAAAATTTGTCTGTAGATGATCTAAGTAGTGGTTGTTTTGACGTAACTGTGGAAAATATCAAGAAGCTGGATTTGTGCATTTTCCCAGGGTGGGATTTCAAAATGCTGCACTACTTGTGGGGACATATCAGACAGGGAGAATTCTTCAATCAGAAGACAAACTCTGACAGAAAAAAGAAGGCACACAGGATGGATGTGCTTAAAATAAAAGGTCACAGCTATTATCAAATAAACACAGTTTATAAGGATGATCAGGTTGAGACAATATATTAAAATACTGTAAAAGAGACAATCCCTCACACCTCAAACAGTGTGACGGTTCGTAACAGTCAAAATAAAGACTCTGGACAGGAGATGTCCTGAAAGCACCAGAACAAATCTGCAGAGCTTGATGATGAACAGGATCTAGTTTTAACAACACTGAAGACCAAGCGGATCCGTAAACAACTGAGCCGTAGTCCAGTCTAGAGCAAACAAGAGCTCTGTAATGCGAAGCATACAGTAACACTATGCACCCCAGGAGGTGTTCGCCAGGACTTTTAGAATATTTAAAATTTTTGTGCACTTCTTTCTCAGTTTTAAGACATGAGAAAAGAAAGTCTATTTTTGGTCTAACAAATCACCCATAAAAATTTTACTTCAGATGCAACTGGAATCATTGACCCATTGAGATATAATTCAGGCTCAGGATAGAGACCTCGCTTTCTACAAAAGTGCACCCACAGTCTTCTGTTTCGAAAACGTTAACCCTTGTCTGTTTGCCTATTCCTGGATCCTGTTCAAAGCGATCTGGAGCTGCCTCTCTACACGTCTCATATCTGCACCTCAACGGCTAATTTGTAGATCATCAACATATAAAGATCCTGAAATGGTGGGAGGAAGTTGTTCTAATAAAGAATTTATTTTTAGGCTGAACAGGGTTACACTAAGCACACTGTCTTGAGGCACACCCTCTTCCTGTTTGAAATCTTCTGACAAAACAGAGCCAATCCTTACTTGAAAAGTTCTAGCTTCAAAAAAATGTCTTGAAAGATGGTTGGTTGCCACGCAAGATACTATCATGAAAATCACGAAAATATAATGTATCTCCATGCTTTATCATAAACTTTCTCTATATCAAAGAAAATTGAGACAAGGTGATTTCTTCTTACAAAAGCTTTAAAGAATAGATGTCTCCAAAAGGAGCATGTTATCCATTGTTGTTCTTCCCTTTCGAAAACCACTTTGATAAGGCAAAATTATATTATTATTCTCCAAGAAACAGACCATGCGGCTGTTTACTATTTCTTCAAACAGTTTGAATACGCAACTACTAAGGGCAATTGCCCGATAGTTTGAGGGATTCCTCGGGTCTTTCTCTGGCTTAGCAATGGGAATCACAACAGCTCTAACCCATGCACTAGGAAAAGTTCGCTCCTTCCACACCCTATTGTAAAGAGTGAGAAGGGCAGTCAGTCACTTACAGGAAAGATGCTTCAGCATTTCGTAATACACGCCATCAAGACCCGGACAAGACCTACGAGTCTGCATTAAAGCTCTCTCTAACTCTAGCATAGTAAAATCTCTATTATATGGCTCAAAGTTGGAAGAGTTGAAAGCGATGGGATTTATCTCACAGCACTGCTTAATAGAAAGAAATGCAGGTGAATAATTTCTGCTGGAAGAAATGGCAGCAAATGTCTCACCAACAGAATTAGCAATTTCTTCTATGGAGCTAATCACTCAACCATCTTTTTCCAAAAAGGAAAGTGACAGGTCTTTATATATTTCCCATGCTTTTTTAACTCTTTCCCAAACCCGCTTACTAGGCGTAGGAGTTGATGTTATTGACACATATGAAATCCAGGAATCCCTCTGGCTCTGCCTTCCTACTTTTCGTCCACTTGCTTTGGCTCTGTTAAATGCTATAAGGTTTCGCAAATTAGGGTATCAGATAAAAATTCCCTATGCTTTTTTTCTGCTTTTTAACTGCTTCATGGCAGTCACGATTCCACCATGGTTTCAAATACTTTAGCATTTTTCCTTTTCTTCTAGGGATGGAGAGCATAGCTGCCTGAATAACAGTATTAGTAACTGCTTCAACTGTGTCATCGATATGCACATCTTCTACCATGTTCTCTGTAAGCTCTGCAGTGGAAGAGAAGAGTTCCCAGTCTGCCTTATCAAGTATGAACCGAGGGGATCTCGACATGAGG